ATGTTGTGCAATATCACTCGCTCTCGCATGAAAATAATGATCCTCTCCAAGGGTCCAAGGACGCAACAAAAAAAATCAATGCTTAGTGGAAATCGATTTCTCTCTTTCTTATTATTTTTTCAGATGTAAAAGGGTATGATACGATGTGGTAGGCTCGAGGATTTATTAAATCGTACAATCTTGAATAACTATTATTCAAGGCAGAAATATGATAACAAAGTCCCCGCGTAACACCGGATATCGCGTTATCGCGTATTCCATAACACATTTGTCGGCAATATAGATAAACGTACGCTTGTTTGAAAGAACTCGAGTTAATTGATGATAATGCCGACATATGGCATTGACATTGAATACATTGTTAGAATAACGTTCCTGTTTACCTCGTAGTCGGACATTCACGAAGAAATATATACATATATATTCAAAGTACGTTTCTTAGATATAATATTTTATTCTTGTAATTTCAAACTTATAATTACTGAGTTTTTAATTAAACGAGAATTGCACGTGCTTTTAAAATAATGCTAGATAAAAACTAGCACTTTAATACCTGCGCAAAAGATACAAATTAGACTGTATAAATAATTATAAAAACATGTACGATACGATACGTGGAAAGTATTATAAAAAAATTGTTGCAAACTTTTTCATATAAACTTGGACGTAAAAATGTATTTCTCGATCATATCGATCGATAAGATATGATATTGACGATATACAATTATAAAAAAATTTCATTATTTCTATCGCGTACTATATATAATAAATAAAAGTCAATCAAATATAATTCAATTCTCTCTAATAAACATATTTTTCCTCAAATCACATGTAAATATTATAAAATACTATTATACAGTATAATAGTATAATAGTATAATATTTAAGTCAATTAAATTAGGTAAATATAAATATAATATGTAGAATAATTTTAATTCATAAAAAACTTTTATATTTTTCTTGCGTTATATTTTTCAAGGTAAAATATATATAGCAATACAATTAAACGAACTCTCTTATTGTCTTTTTTCTTTTGAGCAATTTTTCAAAGTCGTATGTTAGTTATACAGTTAAAATTTGTACAGCTGAGCAAAATATTGTTATACCGTTGATAATTCATGATCGGAAATAGAAAATGTATGACCAATGACTCGCGAAATGATAATGACGCAAATACACAAGTTATTAATTAGTTCGATTCTGGTATCAGTTTTCCCAATGACCAGTTGCCGATGAAACTCAATTTCCTCTCTGTTAACATTTATACGATGCACGATGCACTGTGTCGGTCAATCAAATTTATATATAAACACACAGCTAAAATGCACATCATGCAATTAAAAATAAATTAAAAATTATAATTAAATATCTTCTTACTGTTGTTATAATTTTTTACTTTGGTTCGTCGATATTTATTTCCAATTATTATTTCCATCATTTTAGAATATTACATTATATCTTTTGCGGTTGCATTCGTATCGAGCTCTGTTGATTCGTCGCCTTTCAAGGTATGCCAGGTATAGTGGTGCCTGGCATACGTCCACGACCTTTAAACATTTGCCAATCGTATCGACAAGGAAGTGAGCAAATTTCCTCGACAACACGGCAGTGCTCGATTTTACGATACACGAAGCCGATCAAACTTACTACACGACAAAATTACCTCGCGGTAATTGCCTGGTGTATAATAAAATTGAGCTACTTAATTAAAATTCACAGCAGGTGATACTAACCAATATTACTTTTTCATCGTTTATTAAGAAATCCGCGTATGTTTTGTTTAAAGAAATAAAGAAGCAGGAAATTTAAACATAGAGAAACGCTCGTGGCGTTCTTTATGTTCTTGCATTCACAATAAAGATTACAAAGAAAAACATATAAAAATATAATAACTGATTGATAAGTTGATAAGGTCTATTATTGTGTGTATTATTGTGCCGAATAACTGCGTCTTACATTTTTAATTTATGTACAAGGCAAATGTGATGCGTAATGTTATATTGTCGTCGACATTCGCGCAAAAATACACAACACCGTTGACGTTCAGAAGCGGGGAGCGCGGATTATAAATAGGTGGAATTTGTTCCGACGTTCGTATCGTGCCACTGGCGAACCATTGGAGAAACGTGGAAAAATGGGAACCACGTTTTTCTGTCGAGCTACACCGTCACCAACTTTGAGAAATAAAGGAAATCAATGGACGAAGGCTGTTCACATTCCGCGCAGTTGGATATTACGTAAAGGACGAATTTTATATATATATATATATATATATATATATATAGAGTGTCGTAGAATTTCTACCTACAAACGATACGACCGATGAAATCTTCTGTAACCGGAAATCTGATTAGGTATATTCATTCTTTCTCAATACTCCCTTCTCTTCAATATCGTGATCGCTATCACAAGTCCAAATTTATAGACTTCTTTTCAAGTGCTCCTTTATGAAGTTAAAAAGAACAAAATATCATTTGTACGTGCAATTTTAGTCACGCAAACTTTAAAAAAATTACATTTTAATTGTTCACAATAAGAAAATTGACATTTTCTATTAACGAATGTCTATTGAAAATATTCAATATTCAATATTCTGTAATATTTAACGACAGTATTGTTGCAGACATTGTTGTTGCACAATATAATATATGGAAGAAAAATTGCGGAACGATAACGATAATAACACTGTCATTAATAATTACGGAATAGGCCAACTGCATACACAGTGTAGTCTTAAAATACTTTCGCCCACTGCAAATTTACAAAAGGAAAAAAAAAAAACAAACTCGGACATTCGTTATTCGAAGGTCAGTGTAAGTCGCTATAAATAGAAAACATGTGGAGCGCGGTTGACGTGATGCATCGTAATTTTAGAAACTGACTTAAAAAATCGCGCGGATATAAAATGATTCATTTTTTTATGATTAATGAGCGCCAAAATCGTGCTCACGTTCGATATTCGAAAACGCGTTAAGGCGAAAGGTCGTTGCAATGTTATATTAGCAACAAGTGGCAACGAGCGCTGAAAAGGGGGAGCTTCTTCTTTATACTCGTTTCAATCTTATCATCCACATTGTGGCTATACTGTCCTTCGTATCTGACCAATCGAGTCTGACATGTCGCTGCATTACGCCACTTCCAGGAAGCCAATCTCTTCCTTTGTGTGCAACCGAATAAAATATTTTTATTTATTTTAAAATACCGGCAAACAGACGGCTATATCTTAATATAGCAAAACATTATTTGAATTGATATTCAATTCTTCACAAAATCGAAACTCGGATTAGAAACTAGACTAGAATAACTCGAAAATACAGAGCAATTTTTAATATACGTAGAAATGCAATTGTCATAAAATTTTATGCAAATTAAATATTTATAAGCTGGCTAAGGATTAACGAGACGGGGATTATTGGCAAGAATATATATACAAAATTGATAGAACATATAAATAGATTATTTAAAAAATTGTTAAAATTGATTTATATGATGTTTTAATGTTATCGTAAAGCGAATTGAAAATAAGGGGACTAAACTAGGAGGACTCATAGCTATATTTAACTTGTGATATCATCTAATTTAATAACCATGTTGATAGCCATATGGAGAGTTTATTACGTGTTGACTCTATTGCTTTTTTTATCATACTATATGTATATATACATATATATATGCCAAATGAGGAATTCTAATTCGGTTTTAGCAATGTTTTTGAGAATATGTTTTGAGAGCTGCGAGATAACACATCGAGAGCACAAACAAGTGTTTGAAATACGCCCATCTGAAAAACGCGCAAACTGATAAGTAGATAAATTGTATCTGATGTCATCGTCATAATTACGCATCTATAATTACAGGGTACCGCATTACGATAGTTTCGTTAAAGCGATAATTTATGATACGCCACTCCCACGCCGATCCCACCCCCAAAATGTTCGAGTCTTGATTATAAAGAATCTTTTTACAAACAAAATTATTCGCAAAACTAGGAAAAAAAAAATCGCATAACTTTCAGCCCAACACTTTCTAACTCAATTCGTAGCTCGGTTGAATGTACATTGCATTCGGAAAATTTTATCTAAATGTTATTATTACGTTTTATCTTACATCATCCTTATCATATTGCAAAAATAATGCCGATGTGTGGCATTATTTTTTTTATTATTTACGAGTTATTTAAGAGTGTGTTAGAGAGAGACATATTTACGTGCGGTTATGTTACACGACAACATCGTGTGATAATATCGTGTCAGTAACGTGCTCGTAGCCTTATATCGTGTCGACGGGAATTACCCTTTCATTATATTTTTGCAAAATTGATGATAATAATCTATTGTTGGAAGGATCGTTACGATGTTAATATCGCAAAAACAGCGTTGATAAGACTATCGATACACAAAGTCTAAAAGTTGAAATGTCTCTAAAACAAAGATATTTGAAGTGTCTTGAGAAAAATTAGAAAGAAAAATGCCAAAAGTATTGAAAAAACGTAAACTCTGTTTGCTCCGTTCTTTTAAATTACGAGATTACAAGAACAACTGTGCCGAGTCTCAAAGAGCCTTCACTTTTATGACTTCTCGCAATCTTTCAAATACCGATACGCGGAACAAAGCGGAAGAGAAATATGAAAAATTCAGGAACGCAATCGAGAACTCGCA